TCATTGCCTAAAATGGCTGCTGTAGCTCTAGCTATCACCTCTATATTTCAGGCATCTGGAAAGATGATTGTGGGAAAGAAAAAAGGGTAACCTGCCAGGTAGGTTATGCTTCCTTAAGTAGCTTCCCTGGAAATCTTGGATAATTCTCATTGGTCAGAATTTAACTTCACGCATAGCGCTAGCTACACATAGCTTGCATGGGAGGCTAAGAGATTATCTTCAAGGTGGACTAATGACGTGCCAGCTGAAATCTAAATTATATTTCTTAAAATGGGGAAAATGGATAGTTGCTGACAACTATCAATCAACCACACTTGTTTAACAAGTATTATTGAGCATCTCTTAGGTGCCAAGCCATGTGGTAGGTCCAGGAGTCCACTAATTAAAAAGCATGGACCACAGCCTCAAACAATTCAGAGCCTAGTTGGGACAGAGATATTTAAACATTCATGGTTTATAGAAAAAATACAAAGACATTTATTAATAGCTATTAAATATTTACATATTTTGACCTATTATTTCTCTTCCAGGAATGAATCATAAGGAACTAATTCAAAAGGGGAATTGCCTAAGCGGGTTTATTGCCACATTGTTTATGATAACAAAATATTGCCTATAAATTAAATAGCAAACTCCAAGTAAATTTTGGCAAATCTACTTAAACATTATGCAACCTCAAAAATATTTAAAACTTTAATAGCATATCCGCAGACTAGAAAACTATTTTCAGGAATATATGGATGACATAAGGCTAGTATATGATCATTATATTAAATGAAAAAGGAAGATACTAACTGTTTCTATATATTTACATAACCATTCAAAAATGTGTATATATGATTAAGGACTAGAAAACATCTGGAAAAAGGAAAACAGTTTCATTTGTTGTGGTAGAAATGCTTTGAGTGAGTGATTTTATTTAGACTTCTGTTACTCTTGGTGTACTATGGATTTGTAATTTGTAACTCAACATAAAAAGTTCCAAAGATAGAACTTGAATGCAAACAACAGGAATGTCGTCTCTTAGACTCTCCAATGTTTCTGCCTCCCTTCTTTTTTCCTTATACTTTGTTATCCATGTGATGTGCATTATTTCATCTCTTTATTGCTAGAGAGTTCTCCCATTTGAGGTTTCTAATCTTTTTTTTTTTTCCTTTCTGATGGTCCAGGTATCTTACTAATAATCTTAGATATGTTAACCAATTCTGTATGTCTAGATTCTGTACTCTCCTAGTTGAGACCCCCACTGCCCCATCCATTGGAGAAAGATCTTTTCATCCTTCAAGACAATGTGGCTTTCGCTTTTCTTATCCACTTCATCTTCCTTTGTCTTCAAGCAGAAACCATTACTCTTACTTGGACATTAGTTCTATATTTCTTTCTTTCTTTCTTGTTTTCTTAGAGATCATTTTTTTATTTGAGAGAGAGAGAGAGAGAGAGAGAGGCGAGTGGGGGGAGGGGCAGAGGGAGAAACAGACTCCCCACTAAGCAGGGAGCCCAACATGGGGCTTGATCTCAGGACCCAAAGGCAGACACTTAACTGACTGCCACCCAGGCATCCAGTTCCATATTTCTTTCTATTACTCTTATGTAATATATTTCAACTGTTAACATATCTCACCCACCTGGGAGCTCACTGAGAGCAGGAACCATATTCTTTTCCTTCTGCACCCCAGTACCTAGCATGAGACCAGCATGCCTTAGGAACTCAATAAATATTTATGAGTCTCTTAATGAACTTTCTTCAATCCAAGGGGATCGTCAGAATTTGCCAGTCACTGCAGACAGGAAACAAGTTGGTTATAATTTGAGATATTGTGAAAAGAGTCAAGAACTTAAAGAAAAAGAAGTATCACTCATTTTCCTTTTTTTTCTCCTGAAAAGTATAATCTCTTGTCTCTTTCCATCCTAATCAGTAATGAGTTTGTGCTCAACATTAGCTGAAGGCCTGATTATTGTTTTACAATATTTAATAAAAATCAGTTGTTATTAGCTATGGCATTCCTAAATATATTTAGACCTTTATGGGTATAAATTAAGATTGTGGGTGAGAGATGTAGAAAAATCCCATGACTATTTTTATGTAATGATTGTACATATTTTTCTTTAAAAATGGCATATTGAACACTGTTTAGTTTTTAGGTATATTTTCATGACATAGCTAACTTCTTAAATTATATTACAGCATAGGTTATATATTAAACAACCATTTAGATACTCTAACCACTGAACCACATGTTCTGAATATCTGGTAAACATATTTCCAGGAATGTTTGGTAAAAGAGGGTGAAAATGGAAAACTTCAGGATGTCTGTCAACAGCGATTTTTTCTGTCTATGTCCCCCTTTCTTAACCTAATTTATATTTTTATAAGCCTTTGGAGAAAAAGTGGAGTTTATTGCTCACTGTACAACCTGTTTGGTCCTTAAATAATATTTGATATTGATATCAACTTAAAAGGTTAGAGTGGTAATTTATTGGCAATTCATTCTTCTCTACATTGATAGGTGTTTCCTCACGAATTGGCCTCTAAAGATACTCCATTGTTGCAGTAAGGGAGTAGGAGAAAAGTGAGCCCCTGCTCCTCCCAGAGGAATTAGCTGCAGACCACAGCAACCAGAATGTTAGAAACCAGACCTGATTCTTGTCGTCACTTTCATCCCATAATTTCAGATAAGAAATTGCCTTTTCAGAAAAGTTTTCATCTGTGCTTATGATAAATTTTTTCAATATGCCTCTGTATTGTTAGAGATATCTGGCCTAGCCTATTTAACTGAGGCAGAAATTAATTTTCTAGGATGATTTAATTTGTTGTTTACATTTACTTGGGCCATTGGGATTGATTTGCATTGTTGTCACATTTCTAATCATATTCAATATTCATGTCTTCAGAATTTTGGAGGAATAAATATATTCAGAGAAAAGTTAGTTTCTGTATTCACCAATGTATTTCCTTTTAACACGTTATTACAACCCAATCTGAGAGTTAGGAACCCAGTCTGAAGGCTCTATCTTATGTGGAGAGTAGAAACATTTTATTTATTTTTATTTTTATTTTTTAAAGAGTTTATTTATTTATTTGACAGAGAGAGGCAGCGAGAGAGGGAACACAAGCAGGGGGAGCAGGAGAGGGTAAAGCAGACTCCCTGCTGTGCAGGGAGCCCGATGAGGGACTCGATCCCAGGACCCCGGGATCATGACCTGAGCCAAAGGCAGACACTTAACGACTGAGCCACCCCGGCACCCCAAGAATAGAAACATTTTAAAGGTAGACACCATTCAGATGTGAGTATGGTAAGGAGGTATTTGTATGACAGCAGAAAGAGCATCATCTTTACCTTTTGAGGCTGGTTCGATATCATTTCCAAGTTATTACAAGGTTTATTTCTGTCTTCAGAGATTTTTTTGGCAGTAGGTATGTTTATTACTTTTTTTAACTGTCGCTCTTCAGGGACATTTTTTATTATGAATTATGCAATATTATTTCACAATGAATTCTACTAACGGCCTGAGAGAAGCTGCAAACACTTTTCCTCACAAACTCAGTGTGTCTTCTTGCTAGAACTCTGTCAGCCTTGGTTCCTTGTGCTTACAATGGGAGGCAAGGTTAGTTGTGACAGATTCACATTATGCCGTCATTTTGGTTGGGGCTACTTTATAAGCAGGTAGCACCTGTTTATCAGTCTTGTCAAAGAACTGAGCGTTAGACTTGAATATGACCAAGGAAAATTTCCCTCAAGTGCAAATATTCTTTGGAGGGAATATATTACAAAATCTATTTTCAGGACTCTTTATTGCCTCTCAGAAAGGAAGAGTTCCAAAGAGACTCAAACAGACCTCAAATGCTTAGGTGAAGCTCTGCTTATATTCTCAGTCGGGGCACAGCTCCTGATGGTATTTAAATGCATCACTGTCCACCACTTATGTGTTTTACCCTTTTAAATTATTTCAAAGTGTTCTTGACTCTGAAGAATCCCATTACCTCACACACCTACCTCACTGTGCCTAGGCTTACTGGAAATCCTACCTTAGGAAGCCTGCTTGTGTGCAAGGCACACAGGTCTCCGTTCAGAGTCTACCTGAATCCCTGCTGCAACTCCTGACCTGCTAACTCTTTTTAGTTTTACAAGATTATTCATCTGATTGTAAAAGGCTTAAATTTCCAAAACGTCCCTATTTTTTTCTTACAAGAAAACTATTCAGTTATTTTTTCTCGGTTATAACACTACATGAGAAGTAGAAACAGTTAGTAACATTCTCATTTTATGATTAAAAGGAAGAGATGTGTGTATATGTGTGAGATAAATTCATAGCTTTAAGTGACAAATTGATGATAGATGCCAGGAAAGAATTCAGGCTGTCTCCAGGGGTATGTCACCATACCCTAAATTCCCCCTTCCTTTAATAAGCATCCCCCTGGAATTAATTTAAATGCTGTGTGAATTCAGACCTCCCTCAGTATCTTCATAGTCCTATACCTCAGACATATAGCCAATAACCTGGCTTCCTACAACCACAGCCATGTTCTGATGGAAACAAACATGCACCAGCAAATCCACAGGCTTCCCTGAACCCACTCTGTTCTGCTTCCTGCAGGCCTTTCCTTCAAGAGAAGATGAGTCTCACCATTGTGTACTCTGAATGCCATTCCTTAATTGCCTTGTCTGGAATCATAGTTTAGCTCCCAGATCTTCTGGCCATTGTGTCCTCAATGCTTTTCCCCTCCCTTGTGATTTGATTCCTTCCCATCAGCCTTCAAACATTCTAAAAATCAATTCTTAGAGTAGTGCACAAACATCTCTCTTAACTGTCACAGCAGTATCGTGGGGTATGTAATGCAGATGACATATATATATATATATACATAATGAAAGTAAAAGTCACATGTTTGCTAAAGACTGCACAGTGACCAAACAGCAGTTAAGGCGGGACTCAGCTCTTCCTACTTCTTCCCCAAGATTATTTACAAATCAGTTTCTAGTGGTTGGACTACAGTTCACCAAGTTGTGTAACAGACTGCATTTCATGGAGGATGAAGCAGAAATACGAAATTGCATATGGAAGAGCACATTCACGGTTGAGACCATTCTGGGACAGACCCGTGTTCACTGCTGCCTGGATTCTCTATAAAACAAAAAAACAATATGCAAAACTGCATGTCACTCAGATTAAAAATAACGAGTCTTTTCAGGAACACCTAAGGAATGGAAACTCTAATATCTTATCTCTCTTTTTTTTTTAAAGATTTTATTTATTTATTCATGAAAGAGAGAGAGAGAGAGGCAGAGGGAGAAGCAGGCTCCCCGCGGAGCAGGGAGCCCGACGCGGGACTTGATCCCAGGATCCTGGGATCATGACCTGAGCCGAAGGCAGCTGCTTAACAACTGAGCCGCCCAGGCGCCCCTCTAATATCTTATCTCTTTATCTGCCTTTTATCTCTGATATATTTTCAGGAATAAGTCAAAATGAAACAGTCCTTCTCCTTCCCTTACTCCTGGTGACTGCATTACATGGGACTTTTCAAAATGTGAGATTTCTGCTATCTAACCGAAAAAGCACTATTTGGAAGTGTAAATTGCATGGCTCGTGGGGTTGTCTTTTAAAATGTTACAACCCCTTCTTTAAATTGTCTTCCTTTCATTCTTTTTTCTCTCTGCCTGATTTTCTTCCTCTTCTCTATTTTGTGAAGGGTGGATCTCTCCCCTCTTTTTGGGTTTGCTCTCAGAGTCTCTCGCCTCCCATTTTGCAAGCTGGGCCACAGTCTCCTTGACGGGTGTTTTAGGTTGAGTTTGTTTGAAGTGGAGCTACGACTTATTTTAAATACAACCTTCAGCTGTTGTCTGGATTCTCTATTTTACTAATTCCTCATTCAGTAATAGCTTTAACCCTAAGATAAACTTATGTATGAAAATGAATTAAGAAAATGGTGGGAAATTGCTGAATAAAATGGTTAGAGATGTTCTATAGGACTAGAATCATGGGTTCATAAAGCATTAGCCATGGCAGGGACAGATGAAACCATGTGGATTAGATATCTCATGTTTAGAAAGCCAAGATCCAGAGAGGCTAGAGACTTATCCAGGGTTACCCATGGTAGTACTAGAACTAAGTGTTTAGATATTACAACTCTGATGCGGATGTTCTTTCAGCTCTGCAGGCATCCTGAGGGTATTATTCACTAAAATAATGACTACTTTTAGATGGGTGATATCAATGCCAAGGATATCTTAGACATAGCAAAGAGAAAGTATTTGCTCACAAAAGAAACCCAAAAATCAAAAAACAACACCCCCCAAAAAGAAGTATATGGATAATTGAAATATGTCTCTTTATTGAAATTAGAGTAGGGGCACATGCCCCCGGCTTGGTCTGTGGAGCATGTGACTTGATCTCGGGATTGTGAGTTCAAGCTCCATGTTGGGTGTAGAGATTACTTAAAAATAAGCACTTTAGGGGCGCCTGTGTGGCCCAGCAGGTTAAGCGTCTGCCTTGATTCCAGGGTTCTGGGATCAAGCCCCGTATCGGGCTTCCTGCTCTGCCCCTCCCTCTCCCTCTGCCCCTCCCCACCGCTCATGCTCTCTCTCTCACTCTCCCTCTTTCTTTCTCAAATAAATAAATAAAAATTTTCAAAAAAGAGAAAAGAAGCACTTTAAAAAATAAAATCTTAAAAAAAAGAAATTAGAGTGATTCTATATCCATGATTTTGAATCTTGGGATTTAAATGGCTTTCACAGTTTTGACTAGTTTAGCACGAGGTCAGTACTAGAGGCAATTGGCTTCCCAGTGCTTTAATAACCTAGATTACCACAGAGAGCTGGTTTCAGCTGTTCTAAGCAAGATTCTCCTTAGTGGCCACATACCTTGACAGTGGTCCAGATGCTATGCTAATGGCAGGTGAACACAGGGGATGTTTTCTAAAGAGTAAGGGAGAGGTAACTTTAGACTCAGCAAGGAAGTTATTTCTGTTTTCATATATGCTCTTGATCAATTCATCAAAACATTAAAGTTCAGGTAGAACAAATTTCTGATCTTTGTAGAAACATAGGCATGTACCTTCTGGCCAGTTGAGTTGAACTCTAACCTTAGAAACTACAGTATGAATGCAGTCAGGAAAAAAAAAAAAATGGAGAGAAAACTTGCCTTTCTCACTCATGGTTGACAAAGGATTCTGAGCGGTTTGTTCAGTGCTGTCAAAATGATCACTGAACTAGTAGCTGGCTCAGGCCTTCCACGGAGACCTGAGGTTTTTGTCAACCATTCAAGCTGCCTCTCATCTGTGCCTTTGGAAAATGGAGCTCATCTGTTTGGTTTTGTTTCTTTCTTTCTCTCTCTCTCTCTCTCTCTTTTTTTTTTTTTTTTTGCTTAACACTTCAAAGCCTCAGATGAATAAAGGGACAAAGGGCTCTTACTAATTATTTCACCCAAATGAGACGGTTTATATAGTTGTTGTTTTGCCAAATAATACCTAGAGTTGATTGTAGTGACAAACTTTTTCTGGCAGATAAGTACAATTTTGAATATAACATATTTTAGCATTTATAATAATAGAGCAGAGATGCATTTTTTTTTCTCACTTCAGAATGGTTCAAATGTGAACGGATTGATAAAATGCAAGATGCTTTTAAAGTTCTTATGCCAGGGCGCCTGGGTGGCTCAGATGGTTAAGTGTCTGCCTTCGGCTCAGGTCGTGATCCCAGAGTCCTGGGATCGAGTACCGCATCAGGCTCCCTGCTCAGTGGGGAGCCTGCTTCTCCCTCCGCCTATCTCTCTCTCTCTCTCTGTCTCTCATGAATAAATAAATAAAATCTTTTAAAAAAATAAATTTCTTATGCCACATTAAAACTGAATAGTTTTGAATGAGGACCTGATAAAAGAGAACTAAAAGCATAACACAGAACTGTGTTTCACTGAGTTTTAATACTGGCATTGAGTTTTAGTATTTGAATAATCATCTCATTTAGGGTTCTTTCCAGAATGGTATTGTTGTTGATCTTCCTTTGGTAAGCATGCTGTAGAAATATGAGATGATGCTTACTGTATTGCTAATTAGATTAAATTGATATATATTTTGTGTGTATTTCAATTCAAAAACAGTGTAGAGACAAAATTCAATATGGTGGATTGCAGTTATACAAAAACAGTAGGTTGATGACAACAAACTGCATCAGCTAGCAAGGTACACTTACTTATCCATTTAATCTTCACAATCCTATGAAGAAGATGCTGTTATTTGCCCCATTACACACATAAGAAAACAGAAGCATACAGGGATTACTGAGACTTAGATTTTAGCTAGTGCAGCTTGGCTCTAGAGACCATGACCTTTGCCATACATACAGGGAAAATGATGGGATAATAATACACAGTTTTAGTATATGTCAGCCTGGTGGGAATATAGTTTTTCTTTGGTCTTACTGTAAATTTTTTTTATCATAGTTATAAGCTATTTGCAAGACAAAATGCGCGTTAGTTAGTATCTGTTATAGACTGAATGTTTGTGCCCCACCCCCATATTCATATGTTGAAACCTATCCCCATTGTGATGGTCTAAGGAGATGGGTCCCTTGGGAGGTGACTAGGTCGTGAGGGTGGAGCCCTCACGAATGGGATTAGTGCCCCTGTATAAGAGAATCCAGAGTGTTTCCTCTTCCTTTCCTCCATGTGAGAACACAGCAAGAAGACAGTTGTCTGTGAATCAGGAAACAGGTCTTCTCCAGACACCAAATCTGCTGGTGCCTTGATCTTGTCCTTCTCAGCCTCCAGAACTGTGATAAATGTCTGTTGTTGAAGACACCTAGTCCATGTTTTTCTGTTATAACAGCCCAAATGAACTAAGATAGTGCCTAATTTAAAGATTATTTTTACCTACTTGAGGTGGGGGGGGAGCACAAGGGAAAGAATCTTCAAGCGGACTCCCTACTGAGCCTGGAGCCCAATGCAGGTTTTGATCTCATGACCTTGAGATCATGACCTAAGCAGAAACCAAGAGTCCAATGCTCAACTGACTGAACCATCCAGGTGCCCCAAGATAGTGCCTAATTTAAAAAGACAAAAAATTCCCAGAAATTTCAAACAAAGAAGGTATATTAATTTCCTGTGGCTGCAACAACAAATTACCATAAACTGGTTAGCTTAAAACAACATAAATTTACATTCCTCCTGTTCTGGATGCTAAAGACTGAAATTAAGGTGTTGGCAGGGACATGCTTCCTCTGAAGATTCTGGAGAATCCTTCCTTGCTCCTCCCTAGCTTCTGGTGGTTGTTGGCAATCCTCAGCATTCCTTGGTGTGTAGATGCATCACTCTGATCTCTATCTCCATTTTCACATAAGGTTCCCCTTATTTGTCTGTCTCTGTGTCCAAATAGCCCACTTCTTTAAAATGATACCTGTTATTGCATTGAGTGCCTACTCTAATCCCGTACAACCTTATCTTAAAGTGATTCTATCTGCAAAGACTTTATTTCTGAATAAAGTCACATTCACAAGTTCCAAGTGGACATGAATTTGGGGGGGACGGTTTTAAGCCCAGTAGAGGTGGGGATTTAATACAGAATTTCTTAAGCAGGTGTTAAAGGACAACTTACTGTCACCAAGGCTAACCCAGCAGTCAGTGCTGAGTTGTACCCAAGCTGCTGAGCGGAAGTCAAGTGTGAGCCCCAAGATGGGATACTGTCTTCAGACACCAGCCAGTCACATGATGACAGGTTGTTTACATTGGACCCATTCCCTTTGATTTTGTCTGTGAATTTGTCCTTCTTGACCACGGTACTTTGCCTGCACCACCATAGGTAGGCATAGGAATACCTTAATTAATATCATTGTATCTTTCACTCTTCAACGGAAACTCTATGGCAGTTGAGATTCCATCAGGAAAACAGAATATACTCCATGTATTTCACATGGAGAGGAATTTAATACAGGGATTTGTTGCAAAAGTATTGGAAGAACTAGAGGAGGAAAGTCAGGGGGTTGGTGTTCACTAGAAAGAAGAAACTGCAGAACGCAACTATCTCCATTCTTCAGGCTGGAAAAGTGAAAAAGAGAAAGTGGCATTGCTCAGGGTTCAGAAGCCCACCCTCAGCACTGACCCTGCTCGTGGGGCCACTCCAACACCGTGGCTATTACCACCATTGTGTCTGCTGCAACTGATCAGGAACATGGATCCAGATCCTGGGCTCCCTGTGTGTGCTCCTGAAGCCCACACTGCTGCTGCTGATGCTATAACAGCTTTAAAAAAATAAATTGCAATTACTGAAGAACACGTCCAAGCAATGTTGCAGAATTCCTTTGACTCTGAGTTATAATTTTCCAATCCTATCATTTTCTAGCGAGGTATTACGTTATCACAATCAGTTGGGAAATGTCATTGAATGGCATACCTCTAAATATTGTGGTTATGTTGAGCCTGATATTTGGTAGGCATTCTATTTAACTGATACATCACTTATATTTTCATATAATACTAGTTCTTTTATGTATTATCCACTCAATATTATTTGCATTGCATTTAGGGATTTAGGCCATATAGTTTGTATTGTAATTTTTAAAAAATTATTTTATCAACCAGTAGATGTTCTTTCAAATTGAAAACTGACAGTCTAATAGAGGGATCAGCACATTTTTCTGTGAAGAGCTAAATAGTAAATACTTTTGGCTTTGCTGACCAGACTCTTTTAAAACCACCCAGCTCTGCTGTCATAGTACAAATGTAGCCACAAACAACATGTTGACAACTGTGTGTAACTATGTTTCAATAAATTATTTACAAAGCGGGCTGCAGTTTAGATTTGGCCTATGGACCATAGTGTGTTGAAATACTTTAACAGTAGTCATATGATTTATACCATATCTGATGAATCCATACACACTATAGAAGGACTGATAAGATTCTATGGTGAACATTCCTTAATTTGGGGATAAATTAACTAGCTTCTGACTCTTGGTTTTGGCTCAGGTCATGATCTGTGTCATGAGATCGAGCCCCACGTCAGGCTCTGCACCCAGAACAGAGTTTGCTTAAAACTCTCTCCCTCTGTCCCTCCCCCTCCTCAAATCAATCAATAAATCTGAAATAAAAATCCTAAACATTACCATAAAACCAAGATTAAAAAGAAAAGTCACTACAATACCACACTGTTAAAAATAATTTACAAACCTTATTTTAATTAATTTTTTTGGTGATCCATAAAGCCAGCATTATGATCTCTGTATCACAGATAAAGAGACTCTATAGAAGTTATGTGAACTTATCTAGGTTCTTTTAATGAGTAAATTATAGGATTCAAACCTATGTTTATCTTACTCCATATATATTAATGCTATATCATGTCTTATAATAATACACAGACTTCTATACATTTTCATGCCTTACGTTCTATAATCATCAGAATTTGAATATTATAAACAAACATGATACCATGCGCATACTCACATGCACATGTATGTCATACACAGAATTAATTAGAAGGTATTTGAGTCAACGCCATAAGAAAATCTACATCTGTCAACCAATACTTACTAGAGGAGGCTGTCCATGAAACTTTGAAAATTTTAATTACCCTAGGAAATTATAGAGAGATGAAAGTTTTGGCTGTAAGGCAGGGCCACCTCCTTGCCTGGTGTTCTCAAAAACTTGCTAGACCTCAGTCTAGAAACCTGGACCATTTCCCTGATCACCAGCCTCAGGCTATTCTGGCCTTATCACCTTCCTCACAGTTAAGAATCATTTGACTATAGGGAAAACTATTGCCTTAAAATACTTGTAGTTTTGCCCTTACCTTGTGAATTTGATTTGATTTGCATGTGTCCTTGGGGAATATATTTTCAATGAGTTATTCTAGCTCCAGACCAGTCTTTTTCTAACGTACTCACTCTTCCCTTTCAACCCCATAGAGGGTAGAGAAGCCCGGAGAGAGTCTGTTTTCCATCTTCCAGTCCTTAGCTTGTCAGCTCTGCCAGGTTACTGGTCCTAAGTGCTTTGTCTCTGAGCTTATATCTTTGCCTCCCTCAGTAATCTAATCTCTTGGCTCAGACCACTGGCATCCCTTTGTTTCCTTGGGATAGTCTTGAGTATCCTTGGCATTACTTTGTCAAAACCCTATCAAGATTAACACTGGTATTTACTGAGTGCCGGTTGTAGGGCATACACTGTTCTAAGTTCATTGTTTCTGTTCATTCATTTGATCCACACAAAAACCATATGAAAGAGATATACCATGGGTCCGACAGCATTCTAGCAGATCCTGCCTGTCTTATGAGAGCACAGCGGATGCAATAACAGTATCTTAACATAGTGCAGATTCAAAAAGTCCACACTTCCTGTTCAGTAACTTGGCCTGGTGGTATAGTGCCACCTAGACAATGAGTCCACTACCTTGTAACACAAACCTTGTCCACACAAACTACCTTAGCAGGTGCTTGGGTCTTTGTCTGTTTGTTTTTTGTTTTATTTTTCCCACAAAGCTGGGAATCAATATGAGAGACTCCCAGACTTCTAATGGTATTCACGACTACATGAAGCCATGAGGTCTCAAAATCCCAAAGATGTTTCTTGAGTTTATGGCTAATTAACAGACTCAGAGTAGACAAACAAAGGGACAGGCAGACCCATACTCCATTCCCAGAGCACTGCACCATGGAACAAGAAGGCAGTTGCCCAAGGCACTCTCATGTTCTCCTTCCTTTTCTAGGTCATGATATGGAATAGAAGCCCATTTGTATTAGTCTCAAGAGGCCAAATCATTTTCTTCTGGTCTTGGATTTGAGTTGGTCTATTGATGGGTTCTCAAGATGTCAAACATCCCTGAGAAGTCTTTCATCTAAATTTCCAATCTTGGAAGGGCATCTAGAATTGTGAATTAAGGGGTCTTTAAGCTAGGGCCACCAGTGAGACAAAAAAGTGAAGTAACAGGGTAAAAGTCAACACTGAAATCTAAAATATCAAGCTGAGGCAGTAGGTTTACAGTCCTTAGGAAGCAATATTAGGTAGTATATATGACTAGTGCTAATGGCTCTGGCTAAATATTGTGTAACTGCTGTGATACACTGAATGGGAGAGCCATATGTCTTTAAAATTCAAGGAAATGTTGGTGTCATTAAATGAACTGATCAATAAATGCCAGGTTGGGACCTTAATACCCAGGACAGTTAGCTGGAGGACAGCACAGACTAGATCCACAATCCTGCAGTCAGGAAACTGGCCTCTGAGTGCATGAAACGCAACCATCCTAAAGTACTTCTGTAATCTTATGGGGCCACTAGCTAAGAGAATAACTGCAGACTGGGAGAGGAAGCATAGGACTCTGGTCCACATATTTATATATACTTTTAAATAAAAGGTTTATGGAATAGAGAGCAAAGAACCTGCCTATGGTGATGCTCCCATGTCGCCATTCTTTAGGACACTGATTCTAACTGTTTCATCTCAGACACTAAGAGAATTCCTATTCAAGGCACAGGTGGTGGCCCCTTACCTACAGGATCGCTTTGAAGGTTATTACCTGTTACATTGGTTCTTGTATTGTTTACTGTTGCCAAAATGCCCGTATCTACAAAAATGGATAGATAAATGGAAGACTGCCTTAAAAATTTGTCATAGGAATTGAAAGTATAAATTAGTGCTCTCTAAACTTTCCACAGCCCAGGTAGTGCCTCTAAGACTTGTGAACAGGAGAGGTCTAATGAACTAGTAGACTGGTGTGGTTATTGTGTTTCTAAATGCATCATGATTTAGTCCCATGACCCTGTCTACAAAGATCGATATTTGAAGTATCTGAGTAAACACCAATAGGTAGCCAAAGTTGAGAAATGAAAGTGTCTCCCAACATTCCAGGTTCAATTTTATCCTCACAGGGAGTCCCGTAGGTCATGAGCAAGTTAGTAAGGCGATAGAATAGTTCAACTGCATGTAACATGAAGGACAAGTTCCATGCACTGTGACTTGTTACTTCTTGATTTATGGAACTGGCATTTTTTACACTTTTCCTCATTGAACTTCTGAAAAAAGAATGGCTATTTCAGTTAAGGAAACTTTCCAGAGATTGAGATGGCATTTGATTTTGGCTCTGCATATTTTGCCTGGACTCTGACCAACTGTTTGCATTTGAAACAGATTTATTGCTTTTGGCTCTTCATAGTATCTTGTCATAGGAGGAGCGTGAAGCTGGATCCCACTTCTGCTTGTGTACATTTTAAGGAGATTCTCCCTAATGAAATATACTGACCCTCTCTGAGGGGGAAAAAAAATTCCTGTGTATCAGGCACAAGCTTGAGGACTGGCATTGTATCGGTTTGGGTCTTCCAGGAAACAGATGCCAGAATGGGATGACGTGTGGGAAAGATTTACCGAGGAAAGTATCAGTGAAGAATAAAGGGGAGCGAAGGCAGGAAGGAGCAGGGACAGCATTGGGACCATGATGGGAGTCTGACAGCTACAAGAAAGAGAAGGAGAGTGTGGAGACTGGAGGATTGGGTAGGAGGAGGCTCTGCATCCTTGTGGCTCTGAGATCATCCCAACTAGGCTGACAGAGAGCCCCAGGGCCAAGTGTGCTCCTTTGAAGCAACCCCATTGGGTAGAAAGAGCCAGCTTGCACTAATTCCCCTGGGGTCAGGCTTAGGTTGTGAGCAACCCAGGGAGAGCATGACCTGAGTGTGAAAGCTGTGTGAATCCCACAGTTGGCAACAGCTTTACGTAGTGGACCTTTCTTGAATGGAGATCTATCTGGTATACCTCCATGGATATCATGGGCATGCAAAGTTTTTAGTTCCCATGAAGA